TAGCAAGCAATGCCATTTGGCTGAGTATACCTTGCAGTCTTAGTTGTCTCAAACTCGAATAAAATGTGATAACAAATGAGCAGACTTGACTATAGTTTCGCAGGCTATATTTGGCTGCATCTTCTTTATGTGGTTTTACGATTTTGACAAAGTGTGAACCATGTGACTAAGTGTTTAGAGTCAAAGGCTTACAGTATAGTCACTGGCAGTGAAGGGTGTACAGTCAACTGTTGATAAAGATGTATAGTTGCCGACATAGTCTGCTATCGATAAAATAGTAAATTTCTGACGGGTGATAATCCATGGAACAAATGTCATGGTACCTCATTAAATTACTTCATCACACGCACACACACTGCCATGTTGGACGAAATCAGCCAAATTTATATGCAAGATAGGCATTCGTTTGAATCCGAAATACCGCGGACAAGTTAGTGCACCAGCCCATTCGAGGGTGCACAAATACAGGCTACACGTGCTCGTTAGCTGATGTGGGGGCTCCTGCCCACACGGGCCCAACTCACCTTACTGAACATGTTTGATGCTTGTGAGTCCGACTGCAACGTTCACTGACTGCAGCTGAGTTCTGCGTCTCCCTTATATACCGCCAACAGCGCCACACCACTTTCCCGCCTCTAGCCCGGGGCGTCGGCACGCGCCAAGGTTGACACCCACCCAGAGACCCACCGCCCCCTCGGCTGACTTGAGAGGGGGGGGGGAGGCGTGGCCGGGGCGTGGTACTCTGGCAGGCAATCTTCATCCCGGTCATGACCTGTGATGGCTTGGCGTGCCGTCTTTCTCATGTGCGATCACACAGGGGCGTCTCTTTACCACTGTGATGAGGCACACGAGGTGAGAGAGCGTTTGGATGAGGACTTCTGTGCTGAGAAATGGACGGCGGGGGGGGGGGGGCACTTGTAGTACCACTCATGCGCAAGGTGAGGGAGTGTTTGGATGAAGACTTCTGTGCTGAGAAATGGGCAGAGGGTGGAGCACTCGCAGTACCACTCATGCGTGAGGTGAGGGAGCGTTTGGATGAATACTTCTGTGCTGAAAAGTGGGCGGCGGGGGGGGGGGGGGCACACGCAGGGCCACTCATGCTCGAGGTGCTTTGTCTTGCATGTCAACGGGACTGAACCAGTGTTAATATAGGTCAGCGGCGAAGGACAGGAAACGATTACCCCGCCGGATCAGGCGTTTTCATGACGTTAGCGCATGGGTGGATGCGACGGAACCCCAGCACAGGCCATTTTAAAGTGTCTCAAATACAAATGGCTTTGAATTAAGCTCAGTTAGTTTTGCTACGGGCAAAAGTTACCAGTTTTGTTTTAATATGCCAAAAATTGGTCCTGTTTGGCTCAGACAAGAGCCCATTGTCAAATCGAGCTAAGCTACTTCAGTACGCCAATATTTGCGACGCCACACATTACAGAATTGCAACCTTAAAGGAGTGCTCGTGATTCATTTGGAACAAACTGAGATGGAGCTCATGTGCTTGAAGGGAACACTGATGATGTAGAGTCCCGTTACGTGACGGTAACGTCACTGCCACACGCCAACGGGAAATTTCTCGGTTCCCGCCCGCCGTCCGCGTCGGCCGCAAATTGCCGTTGAGTGACTCTAATAAAACATAGCGCTTCTCAGTAACTATTTATGCTACAGACATATCGTTGATGTCGAAGCATCCGCAACAAATACCCCTGAGCCTACTGAGAATTCAGGCTCATTTGCACGACACGCCAGGGCTCATTTAGTCAAATTTCTTGCGCAAGTTAACCTTCCTCCCAACTATCGGGGAGAGGGTTTCCATAACGTGTGTATTATTTACTTGATGTGCTTTTGCAATCGGGAATTCGCAAGCGCCATAGATGTGAAGATGATGAAGTTTATGATTGCTTAAACTGTTGTCATTATCGACGTAACTGTGATTGTAACTCTCATCGTCGTTTGTGGATTGTGCATTAGGTGAATATGTAACGTCATCAATCTCCCAACGATGTCACGATGTATGAAGTGACAATGTTGAAAATGTAGCACCAATGCTGTCAAAGGTCGCATCGAATGCTCCCCACCAATCTCGCATGCAGAATACGTCAGAGCCAATGACCTTAATATTGTTTACCTGGTAACAATGTAGGGCAGAGAGGTCCGAGACAGGCGAGATCTTGCAGCACCAATTAGGGTCAATTCTATAACAATAGCTGAGCTATGTTGCTGCAGGGCATCTTCCTTCTTCGTGATGGTGATATTCATGTCAGGTATTGTCACGGCATGCGCATACAGCACTGCCTCGAGAACATTCTGTTCAGCTAATTAAGAAAAAATTTAAAAGCGTTAACATCGTCACTCAATACATTGCTGTTTCAGTTGAAGAAAGCTCCAGATATAAACAGAACAAAGGCATTTTAGCCACCGTTGAAATAAAGTTGGCGAAATCCGGTAACCCATTTTTGGGGAGGGGCATTTCACTAGCAGGACCCCACGGTAACACTGTGTCCTCCGTCCCCCACCGAGAGTCTGGCTGTGCCCTTGACCCCAGTGGAGGATCCAGGATTTCATAAGACTCCAGGTGTGTATGAGATCTTGGGGTCATGATCCAAAACCTTTTTGGGCACATGTCTACTTGAGGCATGACAGATCATCTCATGGTTTATTTAACCTCCTGTACCTGACTTTGCTTGGCACATTAGATTTTCAATAGGCCGAATTTCCAGTTGGTGGCCTCAGCTGATCAGATGCTCTAAACGTCTTTCATGTTCAGGCCAGACAGGATTTCCTGTTTAGGTGAGGTGTTTTGGTATTTTTGATGTTCCGAACAGATGTTATTTGGAACGCCAGAAATACCGGAAGTTTGTAGGTATTGTAAGCTGTGTTTTGAACAAATTTTGCATACCAGAAAAAATGTCACTTGCCATTGATCTTTGTTAGAAGAGATCGAGTGCCTAATGGATATGCCGTGAGCATACCAGATGTTTTAATAGAGTTTTTGGCTGAAGAGCCGCACCCAGGCCTGGAAGCGTATGACAATGCGTGCTGCGCGATAGTTAGGTGACAGGCAGTAACCAGTAATGACTCAGGTGACTCAAGACTCTAGTCCGACCAGTGCCCGAGACAAGGCCGGTCCACTCCGGTCCACCGTCAACTCGTGCCCGATGATCATGGAGCACTGATAATGTAGCCACCGACAATATGTAAGACACAACAACGATGAAGGTGTTTTGAGGAAATTTTACCCAGCAGTTGACTTTGTCCAGCATTCTAACTTTAGCCTGAGAGAGATAAATGACTCCCCCATCTTTTAAAGCGTTGTCTTAACGATGGAGTCGCACGCGACTTCACAGGTTTGACCTTGACCTGAACCGATAGTCGTATCGGCAGTGGCACGTGTGAAGGACGTTGTTTTGCAAAATTAATGAGTGGAGCTGATTAGTGAAAAATGGTTCTACACCAATAAATTAGGCCAACAAAGGGGTTGGAAGCATAAGTTGCGCATATTTAAGGCCTCAAAACATCAAACGGCATCCCGTCCGTGGTGTAGAGCTTTGTCTCCGATTTATGTCGCATGGTGTACTTGTCATGTCTAGTCAACAGAGGTCAAAGGCAGTCAGCCGAGGTAAAATATCATGTGGAATTGAAACGAGCGAACACTTAGCAGAATTGAAACGAGCAAACATGTGCTCTCACCTAATAATGTAACCCCGTTCTGGGCCGGAGAATGGATTCGCTTTCCCCCCCCCCCCTTTTCTGTGGCTTCTTGAAAACGGATTCCTGTCGGTGGTTAAACACTAACTTTTTCTAAAAATTTGTTACCACAGACTGAGCCAAATCTTAGAATCCATGGTATGGGCAGGAGCAGCACCAGTGTTAAATATTGGTAGGGAACAAGTGAGATTTCACTTCAATGGCAGAGTGGTAGCTCTCGGAGTTGTACACGCTGCCTAGCATTCGCACGGCATACTCTTACTTCCGGCAAATAACACAGCTGAAACAAGAGTGTGACATTGCAAGATACGACGCAGAATGGCAAAAGCGGTTCCAGCGCTGCAAAAAGCAGAAGTTTTCCAACCGTGTCAAATGTATCACGGATGCAAAATGCAAAGATGTAAAAGACGTTGTGGTAATTAGGTGCGGAGCTTTATATTCCAGATCAACTTTACACAAAACATGAGATATCCATCTATACACACACACACACACACACATATATATATATATATATATATATATATATATATATATATGTATATATATAGTAACAAAGGGTTGTCCCAGTTTGGCAACTGTGTCGTAAGGGAATGCAGCGTCATACTAAACCATCTTCTGTTTGCTCCGAGCTGAATCCGGTGCCCATTATATTCCCCTTCCAGGCCCATGTAGTGCAGAAACACAACAATCATTGTATGAGCAATGCTGGGACGATGCAAAAAGGCCAACGCCAGGCGACATAAGTCTCATCAGGCTTGGAACATGTTTCAAGGGAGTGTTCTACGTTAAAAGAGTTTTAAGCAAACATCAGATATGATGAAATAACCTCACTTACAACTGCTGGTATACGTTTAAGTGGAAATTTTTTTACACAAATATGCTCACTATATAGTGTATCTGCTGTTCATTATGTGACTGCTCCATAGAGCATTTGGATCAGAGCATTCGCTTGTAGTTCTTCAACCTTCCGAGAGGTGGCGCGCGGCGACGCTAGATGTGTGCTGAATCAAATATTTTTTAGCTGCGCGTGTTTTGGCCTGTTCTCGCGGTGCTCTTGCCTATTCATCTACGGTTTTAAGGTGCGTACTTCTATTCACATACTTTATTATGGCACTTTTACTAAGCTATTCGATGTTGGAGTTGGGCTGACGGGCTTGGAGCGCCCACCTAATTTTGGTATGGGGTGCACGGGCTCACATAGGTAAACCATCTCGTTGTCTGTTACGTCCTGATAGTGGTATGTTATCTGACGATTGACTGAGCGCAGTCCTCTTTGAACGTGAAGAAGCAGAGAACACAAATCAAAAGTTTATTTACGGCGCACAAATCACTCGGCACACTCGCTGAAGTCAGGTACGTGACAAAAATCACTCTACATTCCTCCGCCACTCCGCAGCAGACATCAGCAGCGCGAAACATGATTCATACGCATGCATTGTCTGTATTCAATGCAGTGTAATAAATAAAGTGTTTCTAGCAGCCGAGAAAGGTAGAGTGGATCGATGTCTTCATTATCTAGACCTTCTTCAACAGATCTAGGCCTGTTCCCTGGGAGCCAGTCAACGCTTTAGTAGTGGGAGGGCTCTGAAATGTACCAAACAATCACTTACGTACACTCACTTAGTGAAACATTGCATTCAGTCGATATGAGGCAATCCCCTAAGAACGAGACGACACTGTCACAAACACGCCCCGCAAAAGAGGGGTCGAGTGGTCACATTTATCTGAGGTAATCAGTACCTCGTGTTGTGGAAGGTTGCAGCAGGTCTAAGTCTGTAGTCTACCGGGGTGGTGATACGCTTTAGCGCGGAAAACATTTGTAATTCATTGGTTATTTAAAATCGTCTTGGCGTAACAGAAGCATTGAGTGAAACAGAAACAGTCTAAGTATCTCTGCATAGATCATACGTAAACAAATGACGAGGAAGTAAACATTCTAAGCGTCATTAGTGACTACTTGGAGCTGCCTGAAAACAGAGCGTCCAGGCGCCAAGCACAGTCAGTTCGAACAAAGCGTGAAGTCAACTGTGCCTACTCGCCGTTACGTATCCGACCTTAACCGAACTCAATTGAGCTCTGACTGACCGTAGGCCGGGGCAGCGTAGTCTCCGTGTCCGCCGTAAGGCGTGCGGTCGTAGCCGGCCGGCTGGTAGCCGTAGCCGCTCTGCTGGTAGCCGTAGCCGCGGGGCTGGTACGAGTAGCCTGCGGCGTGCGGACGGGGGCTGTACCTGCACGAGATGACGAGGCCGCGTCAATGGCGTGGGGGGAGGGTGTCTTAACTGTCACTGTTCTCCACTGTCTCATTCGAAAAAAGAATACTCACAGTGAAACGATCTTGATGCTGGCTTAACATGGATGTGGAAAGGCACATCAAAGCCGGCTGCCTTCTGCATCACAGCTTGCTGCACCAAATGTAACAAAAATCATCTCGCTGTTTTTTGTTCAAGGTGGCGCACCGCAACTGTAAGCATCAGCACACCACGGCTCTCTGTGGCACGCCCAGCCCCGCTGCACACTCACGCGTTGTCGTGGCCGTAACCCTGGTCGCGACCGGCGTAGGTCACGCCCTGGTAGCCGGCGGCGTAGCCGTAGCCGGCGGCAGGGGCGTAGCCGGAGCCGTAGCTGGGGCGAGCCGGGGCGTAGGCCGACTGGTGGTACGTCTGCACGGGCTGGTAGCTCGGGCGATAGCTGCTCTGATGGGGCGCGGCGTACCCCTCCGAGGCGTAGCTAGCCGGGCCGCGGTAGGGCGAGACGGGGGCGTAGCTGGGGGCGGCGCCGTGGTAGGAGGAGCTTGGCGAGTAGGCCGGCTCGGCGTGGTACGAGGGGCCCGACGAGTAGCTAGTAGACGGAGCGCGGTAGGACGAGGAGCTTGACGAGTAAGAGGGGGACGGAGCGTGGTACGAGGACCCCGACGAGTAGCCAGTAGACGGAGCGTGGTAGGACGAGCTGGACGAGTAAGTGGGGGACGGAGCGTGGTACGAGGACCCCGACGAGTAGCCAGTAGACGGAGCGTGGTATGACGAGCTGGAAGAGTACGAGGGGGACGGAGCGTGGTACGAGGAGCCCGACGAGTAGCCAGTAGACGGAGCGTGGTACGACGAGCTGGAAGAGTAAGTGGGGGACGGAGCGTGGTAGGACGAGCCAGAGGCGTAGCCAGCCGACGCCGCGTGGTAGGAGCTGGCAGGGGCGTAGGTGGTGGAAGGAGCGTGGTACGTGGACACTCCGGAGCTGAAACGAGGCCGAGATGTCAAACGAAGTCAGCTGAATTCCTAAAAAAATTCATGGAGTCGGTTATACGTTGCCCGTGTGTGCATGCCGCACGAAAATGTAAAATTAGCTCGAATAAGGTGTGCTCAAACCAATTTCATCCAAATCATCATAAAATGGTGAATATGGCACGACTCCCCCCCCCCCCCCTTCCTTTTCCACGGATCAGACTCTTTACCTACTGCCGGCATCTCAGTTGGTTGGTTCTCCCTAGCGTTTGGCAAAGGGAGGTGACAGCGATCAGCGACTTACTGCACCGAGCCGAGGCTGCTGTGGGAGAAGCTGGTGGACGAGCTGTCCGTCTTCAGGTCCTCAGCCGCCTTCTTCTCCTCGGCGGCCAGGCAGGCCGTGGCCAGAAGGCCCACCACAAACAGCTGCCGACAGAGCGGCCGGTCAGGTCAAGGCATGGCATGGCAGGGCATGTCAGCAGGGCAAGGAAGTGCGGGGCAGGGCAGGGCAGGGAAGGACAGGGAAGTGCAGGGCATAACAGGGCAGGGCACGTATATGACAAAGCCACCACCGTAGCATCGTTGGATTCGTTAATTGCTCGCGTTACTGGCAAATTCTGCCAGAGTGGATTAGTGTTTGATTTGATACACGTTGATATTACACTACTTAAACAGTGAAAGAAGTAACTATTTGGGTAGACTCGTAGAAACTACACCACATTAATTCGTTTGAAGATGTCTCGCCGAACGAGTTGAATTTTTGGCACCCACGGCCAGCCCGGCTGTTCAGTGTTTACCAAATGACCGTTTGAGGTGACGTGAGATGAGATAACCGTTTGAGGCCATAGACGTTTTGCCAAAATATTCGGTAAAAAATACTTCACATATGTATCTCAGTAACAAGTGCAGACAGACAGAAACGAGTTGGTACGCCTTACATGTTTTCAAGCGTGTGAATTATGTACGTTACGTGATCAAGCTGATACAAAAACATCGAGGTGGTAACCTTGCTTTGATCTGATTTGAACCTGACCTGACCCGACCTTTTCCCATGACCCTGATCTGCAATATTGTATGCCTATGTGTGGTGTGAAAATGCTTGGCCTCCTTGTTTCCAGCTAAAAAGCTCTATAAACATGATGGCGATGGTCTGGAAGATCCGAAGGTATTCGATGGCTTGGTGGTATTGTTGCACCATTATCACCCCAATAGACAGCACGCTAAATCCAAGGCTTTTAAAATTATTGTATCACCAAGAGAAAACTCTAGTAAATTATGGAACCGAGATCAAGTGAGAGCTCAAGACGCAAGTTTCTCTTTATATAAGCCCAAATCCATTTTTCCGAAGCTACCTACTCCACTAATATTGTTCCCGATCTACGCACCATGACATGAAATCTGCCTGAGTGAAGCTTACTTAGAGTGCCTCTCTGCTAGAACGTTCGATAGCGTAGTTGAATACCAATCTCAATAGTGTTGTTGCCTCGTCATGAAAAGGTGTGTTCGACGCCATGAATATTTAGAGCTACATTAGTACTCAAATGCATAGATATGTTTTCACATTTTTCCTGCGTAATGGATATCCGTTTCTTTATACATAAGTGTGAATCTTGACACCTTTTTTGCGGAGCCACCGATCACAGAAAACGAAATAAAGGCGATTTGCTTTAGACTGTCGTGAGACAGGCACCAATGGGAGGGGGAGGGGAACAATGGGCATTATAAAGCAAATTTGCTTTAGATCTGTCATTTATCAATCTTGCCAGACGGGTCAGCAAGTTGAGGGCGGCTCATGATCACCGATGCTTTTGGGCGGTCCGATGTTGATTTTCTATGGATTAATGAAGCGACGTGATCCTTATCACCGATAGACGAGTGTAGCATCGAGTCACGTGACGTTGAGAAGGCTGTATGCCGTCTGGCACGGACTAAGTCAATGTTCTCTAGACAGTAGCAGCTGTCCTCACAGAAAACTTTGATACCCGAACCTCGTGTTTTTGACCTATCGGCGTCGATAAGTCTGAACATTCAGTTGTTAACTGCTGAAACTGTTGGAAACAGTGGTCTTCAGCAAGCAATGTCAGTCGGCTAAGTATACAAGTATCTTTGTTGTCCCCAAGTAGAAATGAAATATAGCAATAAATGGGTAAACTTGACCATGTTTTCGCAGACTATATTTGATTTGATTTTCTTCATGTGGTTTTAAGGTTTTGACAAAACATGAACCACGTGACCAAGAGTTCAGAGTCAAAGGCTTACGGTTTAGCCACTGGCAGTGAAGGGTGTACAGCCAACTGTTGATAAAGATAGGCATTCGTTTGACTTAGAATCCGAAATATCGCGGGAGAGGTTAGTGCACCAGCCCATTCGAGGGTGCACAAATACAGGCTGGATGTGCTCGTTACCTGATGTGGCGGCTCCTGTCCACACGGCCCCAACTCACCTTAGTGAACATGTTTGACGCTTGTGAGTCCGACTGCAACGTTCACTGACTGCAGCTGAGGTCTGCGTCTCCCTTATATACCGCCAACCGCGCCACACCACTTTCCCGCTTCTAGCCCGGGGCGTCGGCACGCGCCAAGGTTGACACCCACCCAGAGACCCACCGCCCCCTCGGCTGACTTGAGAGGGGGGGGGGAGGCGTGGCCGGGGCGTGGTACTCTGGCAGGCAATCTTCATCCCGGTCATGACCTGTGATGGCTTGGTGTGCGGTCTTTCTCATGTGCGATCACACAGGGGTGTCTCTTTGCCAATGTGACGGGGCACGCGATGCGAGGGAGCGTTTGGATGAAGATTTCTGTGCTGAGAAATTGGCGGAGGGTGGAACACTTGCAGGACCGCTCATGCGTGAGGTGAGGGAGCGTCTGGATGAAGACTTCTGTGCTGAGAAGTGGGTGACGGGTGGAGCACTCGCAGGACCACTCATGCGCGAGGTGTTCATGTGCGACGGCATGCAACATTGCAGCATGACACCAATACAGGCGTGTTCTTGATTGATTTGGAAGAAGCTGAGGTGTGTGGTTGCATGTGCTTCAAGCGAATATCGATGATGTAGAGTTCACCTACCAGTGACGTCACTGCCTCACGCCAACGTTGCATTCGTCGGTTGCCGACCGCCTTCCGCTCCGGCCTTAAACTGTCGTTGAGTGCCTTTAAAAAATGTTGTCGCTCGTTAGTAACTCGACATGCTACCGATATGTCTACAGTGTCAAACCATGCACAATCAATACCCCAGAGCTTGCTGAGGATTTGTGCGCGATTACACAGCATACCCGGGACAAATCGGTGAAAAAGGTAACGAAGGCTCCCACCCTAAAGAGTGTTATTTATTTGATGTGCTTGGCCAATCAGCGAGTTTCAAACGTCCCTGGTGTGAGGATTGTGGAGCAATGCCTATATGTTTAAGCTGTTTTCATCGTCGACGCGGTTATCATTGGTGTTTGCATCGTGTTTAATGGATTGAACACTACGTGAATCTGTAAGCTTAACACTTACTCCCAAAAATGCCAACGGCTGAGATTCATTGAGTGACGATGTTGAAAGTTTAAGTTTAAAGTTGAAAGATTAGCGGTAATATGGTCAGGCACTGGAATGGAATGCACCCAAGTATTATTACGTACAAATTTTGTCAGAATCAGTAGCCTGAATGTTGTTTTGCTTATGGCAATGTTGGACAAAGCAAGTCTAACACGGGTGATTTCTTGCAACACCATGTAACGCTATTTCTATTACAATGATTAGCCCATGCTGCTGTAGAATATCTACTTCGTGGTATTAATATTCAGGTCGGGTCTTGTAATGTCGTGCAGGCAGCACTGCCCGAGGACATTCTGGTCAGCTTATACAAAACACGGCCATCGCAAGCTTTAACATTGTCACTCGGCACATTCCTGTCTCAACAAAAGAAGGCAGCGCATATAAATTGAGCGATGAAATGTGGGACACCCTCGAAGAGGTGGGAGAAACCCGGTGAGTCACTTTGGTGGGGATAGAAGCTTTTCACCGCACAAACCCTGTGCCGTCCCTCTCGTGCCAAGACTCTGGCCGCACCTTTGCCCCCAGGGGAGGATCCAGGATTCTTCGCTTTGGATATATGCCTGATGCATGCAAATAGACGCCTTTAGCTGATAAGTGAACCGTATTCTGAGCGAAGGGAGAATTTCGCCTTCCTTGGGATTTTACCTCTAGTTTCTTCGATACGGCTCGAGGACAGTCGTTGAAGCTCTCAGAATTGTCCTAAATATTTTCACGCATTGAGCCATTTTCTTTTTGGCATGCGCAGGAGTGGTGCCATGGCCAACTTCTAGTAGAGAACTACAGTGAAATTTCGCACTGGTTTCAATATGGTGACTTACCTGCAATACATGTACTGCCTGCCGTTTACAGGAGGTGCTGATACTCTCGAAAGATAACACGGTTATGATAGGGGTATATGAATTTCGATGAATAGAACATGGCATGGTCGAGGTGGCTTCAGGGGTCCAAGAAATGCTCCAAAAGAGTTTCCGAACACTGTGAAATGCATTGCAGATCCACAATGTGGATATATGAGGGGTGCTCTTTGGTATACGTACACACACACACATATATATATATATATATATATATATATATATATATATATATATATACATGCACAGCTTTACAATTCAACTAACATGTTAGCAAGCTAGGACACATACGGTAACAAAGGAGTGTTCAAGTTTTGGAAAGGAAATGTGACCGACCGTAACCTCATATCCTTATACGTACACAAATACTACGTTGCTGTCAATGGCTAGCAGAAAAATACTCATACTTATGAAGATGGAAGAACGAGCAGTAACACTTCAAGTGCAAAGGAACCTTCAGAGACACGAGTGACGGGGCTTATGCCATTTGAAGCACCAATATTTAAAATGGAATGTTGCATTCCATCATTTACTTCTGTGTGGAAAGTGCCTTAAAATACGACGTGGTAGGCGAGTACAGAAACGAAAAAGAGAGATAGGATTGCAGTGCACAAAAACCATGACCACCAACTGCACGTCGTCAGCGGGCAGCCACGGCAATAGCCCACGCTCCAAAAATGTACGCCTACATCTCTCCCGTCTTTCCTTCGGTAAATTGGACGCGTTATGGTCCACGCATGCTCAATATGTACCCTACTATATTTACAGCGCGCAGCAGCATTTTAGTCAACAATTAGTAACATACACTCTAAGCCACTCCATTGCGCTTCCCCCAGTGGCATCCGGTCTCTGCTGATATCTTAATTGTGAACCATATCTGGGCGCTGAACACAGAGTCAAGTACAATGGCATTAGCTTCGCATGGACGCACTTAAAAGCCGAGTTTGACAAGCTCTGTTTTAACCCAGTTTTGCATGGCCTGAATACGTTTAATAATTGCCGATCTTAAGCTTCGTCATAATAAGTGCCTGTAGATCATGTATATAGATAATGTCACCACTGTCTTTAGATAATGCCACCACTGTCTATAGATGTCTGTTGATAGCTTAAAAGCATGAATATAGTGTTAACCAGGCAGCGGAAAATTGTTGACATGCCACCAACGCTTTTAAACTTATTTCCTTCAACCACTTTTTAAAACCCTATTAAAACTTTTGCATCCAGCACTTTGACAACTCAACAATCATGCGTCTACTATCTCAAAACCGTCCAGAAAAGGCCTCCGAGGCCGACTGTACCCTCGAGGGTTATATGAGTCATACATCGACGGAGAAGAAACACACAGGCTGGAGCGCGCATGCCTCACATAGTACCCTACGCTGTGAATGAGAGCGCCCAAATCGCGCGTCAGAAACACTTAGTGATGCAATTAACTGCACCAGCAACAGGCGCAGCGTACGCGGGGTAATTTCACGCTCCACAAGGTGATGTGGGCATAATTGCACTGCAGGTCTAATGAATGGCCCATTGTCAGGCGTCGCATTGACAGGGGCACCATGCTTCAGAAACGAATTATTGAACAGGTCACATGAAGCCGAAAGCCGAATTCACTTCTGCTATTGTTTCGATAAAGGCATGTTGCCGAAATATCAGCCCAACTATGTCTCCATTCTTTTGGTTTTTCTGCGAGGAATAGGGCTATTGCTACTGCCTTATCTATGTGAATAATGCTCCTCGCTAATTCACTGAACAACTTACGTAATTCCAAAACACAGATGATTGATTTCAGCGGGCTCCAAATGCTGTGTTTTTGGAGGAAGAGTGATTGAACCGTTGAAATGGGGCACTGTGAGAAGGCTATGATTTATTTGTACGCGTATATTTCTTTTAAAAAATATGCAAGAACGCAGGCCACTAAGCAAATTGAACAGGTAGCTCAATCGTAGTCTCTTAGCTTTCCCCACGTAGCACATGTCTCTCGTCCGAACAACACCGCGTCTTCGAAAGAATTGTGGACCAGATTCAAGCCAAACTTATGATGTTTGCCACGTACTGAACGCCTTAGCCGATAGGCAGTGGCGTCTTTCCAGCCAATTTTGTAGAGAAAGTTCTTCAACAAGTTTGAGAATCTGTTCATGCAATGCGGATCAGGAGCAGCTGACGCATAGCCGTCGGATATGCCATCGCTGGTATTTTCAACGTTATCAAAATATCCGTGGTGGACAAGGTGGTAAAGCCTTGGCTTGCCTCTTATCTTGGGCAGTCTTCTTTTTGAACAAGTCAACACATGTAAATTTCCTTTTTTCTTTTCCTTGGTGTCAGTTTTCTTTTCTTTAAGGCTTGGTCGGAAGGCTAGAATTTAGGATACTTTCCAGGAGAAGGGCGTTTAGGACGTTGGAAAACTGCACTGAAAATCAGAATTGGACGACATGAATGTTTTGATGTGATATCAATCCGAAGGGTCTGTCCACCACACATGCAGGGAACCCTGATCACACTTCAAACAATGATGCTTTATCGTTGGTTGGGATGACTCCCCAGCGAGCCTGCATCAGCTTATTCCATGTATCCGCGGTCACCATGTTCGGTGTCATATGTGACGCTTGTGAAGCGTCAGTTCAAATTGGTGAAGATTCTCTTGTACAGCATAGATCCTTTAGGATAAGTTTTCGTTCAGAACTGGATAACGCAGGTGTGGAAAATAGTGGAGTGTGAATTGGTGCATTGTGGCATATAGGTGACGTGCTGGTAACATGTCTGCAGCTAGCTTAAACTCAAGCAAGACATGTCAAGAATTTGAACCCCTTGATAGCACACCATGCAGCTAAGCGTATCCGTACCTTTATGATGAGGGCTGAGATGAGCTAAAGTACTAGGACATCTATCAACTTCCTTCCCGAAATTTAGGCATGCAAAGCAGCTGGCCTCCACACGGCGCACAAAAGAACAAACATTTATAATTCTTCTGACTTAGGAGGGTTTGATTTGCCAGGCACACATGTCGGTTATGTTACATGTGTAGTAGGTGTAGCAATGGTATCGCTAGGAAACTTTATCATCTTTAAATGTCACATGACGACGAACCAA